AATATTGCACTAAATCAGGGGGTCCTCAAATTACGGCTCCTGGGACGGATACGTGCAGTGGACACTTGTGTTGCTGCAGAGAGTTTCCCCCTTTGAGGTCTTTTTGTGCGGGTCAGAGGGGGACAGAAATTCTGACTTGGGGTCTGCTTCAGCCTCCTGGTGGGGGGCTTTGGGCGAAGGCTGGAGGGAAGCACCGCTGGTGGCAAAGAGCTGGAGGGCCTCGTTCCAGTGGGACGGCATCATGGCCTGGAACTGGCTGACCATCTCAGCCCAGTGAGCCTCCAGGCGCCGGTACCTGGCCTTGCCACTCTCCCAGGTTTTGACGTGAGTGACATCGGCTTGGCCACACCCATCCAGTCACACAGCCACCTTGCCACGCCCACCCAGCCGGTCATTAGGCAGATCCTATTAGTGGTCCGCGGGATTTAAAATTATGAATTTAATAGTCCCTGAGGTCCGAAAGGTTGGGAACCGCTGCTCTAGATGCCTTAGGCCCTAAGTCTCATAGGATGGTAGGGAAGACCGAGAAGAGGGAACCCTTTTGAGATAGACCCACCTGCATCGTCCCCCTGGAGACACTGATACCCTTCTTACCCTCCAGAATGGCCTGTGTGTAGTCATTCTCGCCCGCTCCCTTCCTTTCCTGGAAACGCCTAAATGGCCTCTCTATGTGTAAGTGTTGCAGCTGAGCTGCTCCCCGCTAGCATGCTACAGAAAGGACCTTATCAGCCATCTCGCTGTCTGTGGGAACGCACAAAGTGTGAGCTTGTTTTCACGGCAAGCCAGCAGCCACTGCTCAAGCTGCGCCTTTGGCATGAATTTCTAGCTCCCTCCAACATTTAATAATTGCTATTTTCAGTTTTCAGATAACAATTTGGGGAGGGAGGGAGGGAGGGGGTGGAGGGAGAAAAATCAGACAGGGCCAACAGCTTTCTTCGAGGAGAGCAACTACCCAGAAACCATAGCCTTACAAAGGAAGTGCTGTGTTCTCAGGAAAAAAAAAGTATAACCAAAACTCTTCCTTCGCATCCCTGGATTTAAAGATACGGAGAATATTCCACTTTTTAAAAGTTTTCATATTCCTGAGCTGGGTCTCTTGCAAAGGTTGAAGCGAAAAGCTTGGGTGCAAAGAATAACAAGAGTGGGAAGGGACCTTGGAGGTCTTCTAGTCCAACCCCCTGCCCAAGCAGGGAAAGGAAAAAGGAATGACATCTTTGAAACTTACTCTCACTTTTGGGGGATGCCTACTTTCTGTTAATCTTGGCTAAAGGAATACGTTTGAAATAGGAGTGACAATATTTTCATACCTGGCCATTATCCTTGTCTCTGAGACGCCCAAGCAAAACTATTTAAAGGCGGAATGGAGAAAAATGGGATTTTAAACATGCATGCTCAGCCGTGGTTTCGAGTCCAAGCCGTTGCAAAAGGGCCTAGGAAAGGACCAAAATATTCTGGGCCTCAGTGAATTCTCCTTTCAGCTTTCTAGACTCCCTACATGCAATTATTTTTTTTCTCCTGTACTTATAGCTTTAAAATGTTTCTCTCTCCTCCTCCCCCTCCCTCCTTTGAATTTCAGAGGCGGAGCAGAACTCCTGTTTGATGGGGTACGAAAACATCAGGTGAATTTGCCCCACCAGTCTGAACCTTGTGAGTATTGACTGATAACAAGTCCTTGCAGGTGCTTATTTTATTTAAATAACAACCTCTCTCGGCAGCCTTAACACATAAACGTAAGCCAAACCTCTTGGAAAAGCAGCACAAAAGCTATCTTTAGAGACCACCCAGACACCGTCATGGAAGATAGTGTTGTGGCCCGCCAGCGGAGCTGGTGGAAGACTTGGACAGTGAGGAGGTTGGGGAGGGACATGGGCCAGTCCTGGAGTCTGGGGAAGGCTCTGATGAAAACTCAGTGTCGGAGGCAGAGAGGGGGCCAGGGCCGTCTGACAGTTATCAGCTGCCTTCGGAGTCAAACATCAGTGGGGCAGAAGAACAGCTGGAGCCTGTTCCCAATGTGCGCATACGCAGAGCTGCCAGGAGAAGGAAACAGCTATGGAACAAGGGTCGACTCGGGAGTAAAGGCACAGGTGGATGGTAGGGAATAAAGAGGAGCAAAAGCGGAGTGGAGTTTACAGGAGACCATTAGTTCGCTTCATTAGTGTGAAGATTTGTCCCTGACTTTCAGAGACTCTTTGCCAAGTAATTGCTGCTACAGCTTGGCGTTTGAAAGATATCGGCCTGGCAGCTCTCCAAGCCTGATAAGGTCTGTGGCTGCCAATTCACCCTTGAAAGGCTGTTTGCCGGGACTTTTCTGGATGTGAATGAGAGGAATTCACCTTCGCTTCATAAAAAAGGGGTTTTGTCAGGACTTGGTGAAGCCTAGGTCAGAAGAGGTACCATCCTTAGGAGCTGCATGTCCGTAATGATAATCCCTCACAAAGTAAAATGATTTTTTTTAAAAAAAATACTACATTTCTAACATGCCCAAAGGATTCTTGAGATGCTACAGAAACCTTCCTCTGATGCCCGAAGATGATTTTGAAGTTGCTGGGAGAATATTTGGGGTTTTTTCTTCTTCTTCTTCACAGAGGAACCTTGGGAGATGAAATAAAGTTGAGCTAAAGAGATTTGTTCCTCATCGTATTTAGAGAATAGTTTTCACTCTTTTCCCCCCTTTGCTGGCAAAAATGAAAACGGATTTATTTCGGATTGTTTTCGGCTTGGAATTCAGAACCATCCGGCTTTCCCAGGCTGATCGAAACCTGGGCCCCGACGCTCCTCTTCCTTCCCCTTAACATGCAAAGGCCTGGGAGTTGCAAACCCCGGTTTTGCGGCAGTCAAGTATCATGTTAGCTGGCGGAGAATGAGATAATGTGCGTCCTTTTGTGATCCTGTTTTTTAATCCATTCCCCCCCCCCCCACTTTTTTAAACCCAAGTCTTTTCCTGCCAGGTTTTCGTAAGCTGGGCTGCCCTGCCGGAGTTGCCCAGGAGCAGAGGTGTATCGAATGAAAGAGGCAGGTGTCCCGCGTAGAGAGGGGAGCAGAGTCCAGGAAAAGAGTGGAGGGGGTGGGGACGGAGGAACCACACACACACACACACACAAGACCCACACCCCAAACTTGGGAAGTTCCTTTTAGGGGTTCTCATCTCTTAAGAGAGGAAAAAGAAAACAGATTCGGCGTCTGTTTGGAGAACGCAAAGCAGAAAGAAGGAACCAACCATTAAAGTCCTCTGTCACCACCACCCCAGCCTCTTCCTTGACCCCCCCCCTCCCCAATCTGCACCCCAGTAAAAAGGTGATGGTGTGGGGAGGGAAGGAGGTGCATCTGCAGACCCTTAAACTGTGCAGTCATTGCACAGTTCACACTGCCAGCTGTTCTTTTCTCCTCTGGCAGCCCTCCCTCCCTCTCTTGCAAGGAGCTGTGTTTGCAGAAGCTGGGGGGGGGGTGGGTGTCTGTGTTTGTGTGTGTGTGTGTCCTGTGCAAAATTGCTTTTGAAAAGAGCTACTTTCTGCTTAATTAAACAATGGGCCGCCCCTGCCCCACACATCTGTAAAAAGGGCCCCCGCTGCTTTATCCCCACCAACTTTATCCCACAAACTGCTCCATTCTTGATTCCTTTCATTTGTAAATCTCTCTCCCACCCACCCCCCACCCCTTTCCTCTTTCACCAGTCTTCTCCCTTGCCTTTCTCTCCCCTTTCAGATGAAGGCTGAGAAACTGGGTGAGATTGTCCTGATTTAAAAAAAAATTGGGGAGGGGGCTAATAGTTTGAGATTGGAGCTGTTTGCCTTAAAGGCCCTCTGTTTGTCTTTTCTTGAAGATGGGGGCGGAGGGGAGGGGTGAAAGAGAGCGGGGGG